CGCAGACGGCTTTGGGTTTGGCTTAGATTCCCCCTGCTCGGCTTTGCGGTGAAGATGTAAGTCCCCCGACAAGTGTAGCAACCCTCAGCGGGTTCTGTAGTTTCCCACTGGGGATGGTGGCACGTGGCCCACTTACCCAGGCAATCAAGACATTGAGAAAAGATAAGCGAAGAGAGGCGCAGAGAGAGATCCAGAGAAAGCAGCATGAACCCAGCAGGAAATCATAGGCTGAAGATGCCTCTCTGTCTCTTGCCATCCAGCAGCTCACTCCCAGTGGCAGTTGAAAGTGACCAGGAAACTAAGATTCCAAGGCGCCTTCCACCCCCAAATGAGCAGGTTAGTAAGGGACAATCCCAGCCATAAATAGCTGCGGCCGCGTTTTCAATTCCTTCCATGGTGTTGGGTAGACCATTTGTGTACCAGGTTTTGATTATGACTCAACTGCCCCGAATCCACCACCTCTGTTTCTTTGGAGCGCGTACTCCTAGTAGAAGTTTGTTTCTGGTAGAACGGGAACCAACAAGAAAACCAGCCCCTTTGGAGACCTTTTTGTTTGGCACGTTCCCGCATGGCAGGGTGGTCAATTTTGAAAACCACCCTGCAAAGGTAGCAACCTCCAACTCCTCTCCAGAAGGTTTGCAACAAACTCGGCTACCTACAAGCGATTCGAGTAGGAAAGGGACCAGGGACCCCCTTCTTAGTGTCTTCCCAAGCGGGATTCTGGCAAGAAAATCGGATTGGAGGACCCTCCACGTTGCATCCCGCCAAAGACAGCCCTGCATGGCGTGCGGAAAAAAAAACACACACCAAAAAAAAAAACGCCTGAAGTGTTTTCGACTGGGGTTGTGGGGTGCTCTTAAAGCAGATTGTCTCATGGGAGAATCATGTGCGCAGTTGTTTCTGGGTGTTTCTCAAAATCGTGCCGGAAACAGACACATTCCTAGGAGGCCACGGAGGCCATTTCGCGAACCGCCCCCCCGTTCTGGGCCATATTACGGATCTTCCTACGTTACGTTTCACTCAACGCTTCAGGATAGAAGCTTCTCTTTGCTGGGATATGGGTGGTTGTTTTTTCAGGGCAGCACCCCGTTCAGGTTGCTTCAACGTGAAACCAAAAAAACACCGAGGCCATTCTGGGATTCAAATCCCTAATCCACATGGAGCAAGTATTCATCGGGCGCGGTAAGGCTGTGGGACATATGGCTGTGGGTCAAAACCAATGGTACCATTTTGGGGTGGGTGAATTCACAACCCATTTGAGAACCTATGTTAGTGGTTGGATTGGGATGTTCACTGGGGGTACGATCTGGTTTTTAACCCATGGCCATATGGGAGGCCTCAGCATTCATGTTGGTGCCGCGCGACTTTGTAGTTTGCATCTTGAGAACACACTCACTGCAGCTTCGCAAAGCTGCATTCGGCCATGGCTAATGGCTTGCTTCAGGGGGAAGGCGATAGCAGTATCAACCAAACGACATAGGAAAGTACGGCAATGGAGTTAGGTGCAGGCCTAAACAAGGGTCACTAGATTTGGCGGACTTCACAACAATGGCCACTGAATGCCACTGATCCAAGAAAGAAAACTTGAGGGACACCTGATCAGCATGGAACTTGTCTGAGTCACTGAGGGTGCCTGGAAGATAATTCTCCCTCTTGTAGAAGGGATCTTCGGCCATATCCTGGCAATTGACTTGAATAATTTGAGGTTTTTCAATCAATGGTTGTGGATTGTCTGGGAATCTCAGGATTCGAGAATCGTTTGGAAGGATGTTCGAACCTAGAGGAACAGGAAGGTCTTCTTCGAGCTTAAGAATTCGGACCATTGGAATCCTGAGGTAATCACCCGAAAGGGCCAACTTTTTTCTAAATTCAGGGCGCCCAGATTCAAGCTGGCTGGATGGGAACAGAGTGGATCATGAGTTTGCGGTCATTGTCTTGTCAATCTAACTTAGACCGCTTTAGCCAAGTTTTGGTGAGATTATCTGAGAGTCTGTGGCCAATTTCAAAGAACCTTGCGCCAGGGTCTTTGGAACAACCGCAACGTCTTGCAGACCCCAAGAAATGCTTGAAGAGATCCAAAGAACTCCCCAGAAATCCATCCAAAGCGATCCCAAGCAAAAAGAATCGGCATCCAGCGAAGCCATGGGATCTCTGTTAACGCGCTTGCTGTGGCTTTGCGCCTGGGCAGGTCAAGCATTTGGCCAGCCATGGCTGTCTACATGCTTCAAGGGACCCTCCGGTGGTTTCCCGGGGCAAGTGGAACAATAGAAGCAGCACCAGGGGGAATAGCACATGCTCACATGCTCCTTGTGGTAACAACATGAACAACTGGACGAGTTGGTGTTTCCCTGAAGGAAAACAAATAGCGGAGCCTCTTGGAAAGCTGCTGTGTCCATCTCCCCACGGAAGTGAACAGGGAGGTTTCCCGAAAGGATATGGGTCTTTTCACACCTTCCGGTCAGCTTTATGGTCGGGGGGGGATGTTCAACACAAGAAAACCAGCAGGTGATGGATGCGAGTTGACTGTTCCAGATCCGCAACAAAAGCATAGTGGCGCGGAAATTTTATGCTTCAAGTGACTATGGTGCGTTTGGACTGATGTTCCTTGAAGGCACATGAACGTGCATTTTTTCTCGTTGGTATGGTGTTTTTGTCCTGAGGGGCCCATCAGTTTCTTGAGGTAGTATGGTCTGGCAGTCAGCTTCGCCAAGTTGAGTAGCCTCCAGATGCTTGATGGAGTGTCAAAATAGTGGTGCCCTAAAGTGGTTGGCTTCCTTGTGACTTCACTTCAAGTACCGACCAAAATGGTCCATCATGTTGAGACACTCATGAGGGCCTTCTGTTCGGCAATGTGAATACATCTCTCACTTCCTGGTTGAGTGGGGATGGCCCTGCATCAACCTTTGATATGTCAGTTTGGTTTTCTTCTTTTCTTTTCTGTTGTGTTTTTCGGGGCGGGAGGGGGGGTTGGAGGGTGTGTTTTTTGGGGGGGAGGGGGGGAGGGGGGGTAGGAGGGTGGTGGGCTCTTTTCAGAGACCGCGGAAGGCGGAGGTTTGCTCCGCTCTTAGCCCCCGCTTCCAAAGTCGTATATGTTTGCCTGGTCAGCCTGGTCTTTGCTTTACAGGTGGCATACGGCATATGGAGAAAAGAAAGCAGATACTAACACCTACGTAGTATATCTGCTGGTACACCCACACATTCTCTTGGCAACTACAACGAAGATGGGTAGCTTAGAAAGCTGGTGGGCAGGATCTGGCCGTCGGGATGCCACTGCGTTGCAGGTTTGGTGATGCCAGCTCACCGTAGGTCCTTGGGGATCCCTTACTTCAGGTTTTGGATTTGTAGAATTTGCAGGTCATGTTCGTGGTATGTCAAGGCACAGGCATTGTGCTAAGGCAGCGCGGCCGGCGCGGTGCAGCTGACAGAGAGGCCTGGGGTCAAGCTTCCCATAGCCCAGAAACACGACTCCGGATATGTGTCAAACGCGGACCCCTTTTTTTGTTTTGTTGGTTTTCTTTCAGATTTGTTGCTATGTTCTTGAAAGGTTGTGTTCAAACAGATGATGTTTCGTTTTGAGTAATGTCCCTATTGATAGGGGTTACTCTATCCCTCTTTGCAGAAGACAACCTTTTTCACTTCAGGGGAAGCGATGCAACCTATCATCAAATCATCGACGGAATGACCGATCGAGTTATGACGTGGGCCCGCAAACTCAACATGACTGACGAAGGTTTAAGTAGACTAGGTCCCCCAGTAGTGCCCTTTTGCCCTTTTTTGGGGGAGGGTTCCCCTAGTAAAATAGACTACAGAAAAAAGGGTACCCTTATAGCCGTTCTGGTCCAAAACCATTAGGGCTCAGGGATCGGGCTCCCAGGGCCTGGCGACACTCCCCTGTGCGTCAGGCGTCCACTAAGTCACGGTCTCCTCCGTGGCGCCCCGCCTTCTCTTGTGCGCGGCCCCCCTGGCTTGCTCTGCTGTGTGGCGGTGGTCTCTGGCGTGCTGGGGCTTTGCCTGTTGCTGGCTGTGGCCATGTTGTCCCGGGACCCGGCGGTGCTGCGGGCCCTGTCTGCCCTTTCTTCCACCACCCTGGCCACACTTGATGCCCTGATGTCAGAGGTGGTGTTCTTTCAGGATCCTGATCCTGAGGCCTGGCGTGGCCATGCGGACCTTCACTTCAGGGTTGATGCTGGGATCTCCCCTACGGAGTGGGTCTGCTCTGCCTTTTCTCCTGGCCTTCCGCCTGACCTGCATGCCACGCCCCGGACGCGCCGGCTCATGTTTGAGATGCTTCTGAGAGCCCCGGTGCAGTTCACCACCCTCCTCAACCGGCCTGGCGGTCACTTTAGGGTGAAAGGGGCGTCCTTGGTGGCTGGCACCATGCCTCGTGTGGCCCTGGTGGACCTTGATTCACAGGTCTGGATTGTCCCTGACCCGGACTTTGATGCTCCGCTGGCCGTCACCCTGTTTGCGGGGTCCTTTCATGGATGGGGTCAGGCGGCTGAGGCCATCAGGCAGTTGGTGGGCCTGGACATCCAGCAGGAGCTCATGGTGGATTTCTCGCCACAGGTTGTTGCCTCGCTGTCTGTTGCGCTGGATGTGCCTTGTGTGCTCCCGGTCAACCTGACCAGTTGGGATCCCACCTCAACCCAGGCTGTGATCCTTGCGGATGTGGCTGACCGTGGTCTGCTGCATTGTGTCCCGTGGGTGGGCACTCATGTGGCCACTGCTTCTCCGCCCTGCCCTCCTTGGTCCCGGGCTGGTGAACAGGATGGGCTTGGGGACCCCCATGGCATGTCCTTTGTGGCCCTGGCTTGGGCTCGGGCTGCTGCCCCTCTGGCTCTTCTCATGGAGTGTGTTGATGGGTTGCCGGATCACCCGCACTTCCCCATCATCCTTGCTGTTGTCCAGTGGGCTGGCTACCGGGTCCATCACTCACCTTTTGGGCCATGTGCCAGACGCCGTTGGCTTGCCACTCTGCTGCGGTATGATGTTGAGGTGTCTGAGCCTGTCCCTACTGCCACCTTTGGTGACCCTGTGCCTGTGCCGTGGACCCACCAGGACTTCCAGGTGCAGGAGGCACCCGAGATGGACTTTGCCCGCCTGCTTGATGACCAGGTTCTCCGGCACTATACCAACCCTGCCTTTCTTCCTGGCGCTGAGCCTCGCCAGCACACTGCACAGGAGGTCCTTCAGAGGCGGCTAGCCCCTGCTGATCAGCCACTGCGCACACTCTGTGCTCGGTACTCGCAGCAGCATGTCCTGGCTGCTGCTACCCTGGCTGACAGGGGCCTCTTTGCCCAGCTCACCCTTGTTGATGGCCGCCCAGCCTTTTTCTCTCCTGCGCAGTGGCTCTGTGGCTTGGAGCAGTCCGGCCCCTTGTCTTTCCTCCTACCTTGGAGGAGGCGTTCCATGGTTTGGGTAACTGCATCTCAGTACCACAGGCAGCCATTCCGTGGACTGTGTTCCTGCGTGCGGTTGGTCTCATTGCTGAGGTACCTGAGCACCTCGTTTTGCGTGTGTGGCGCCAGCGGCTTCGGGGTGTTACCCTGCGTCCTGCTGTTGTGCGTGGATGGTACTTTCTTGGAGCTCTGGATCAGCTCATCGACTTTGCCTTCCACCCTCAGGCCCCTGTGCGGGCCGATGCGGAGGGACCGCCAATTGTTGTTGGTGAGGAGACCTTCCCCAGGATGGTCTTCCCCTACCGCATGGGTGCTGCTCGATCCACGCTCCACTCGCCCTCTGGTTTGAGTGTTGAGGTGACGTACCCTGTTGGGGCTGCTGTCTCTTTGGTCCTCCTGGCAGCTCGCCTTCCGCCGGTTGTTTTGCCCCTTCTTGCTGTCTCGACCTTCGCTCGTGTCTGGCTCCCTCGTGAGTCGGCCGGAGACTTGACCGGACATGACTTGGCTGTGGTCCCTGCTCAGGAGCCCGGCCAACTTGCTCCCCAGCCCCCTCCCCCCGTCCTGGTGCCACCGGAGGTTAGGGTCTTTATCCATGACCCCATGCGGAGGGAGCATGTGTTTCATGTCCCCAGAGTTGCTACGCTCCGGCAGCTCATCTGGGCCCTGCCGCTCCCTGACCGTCTCCTGATGCATGTGCGACCGTATGTCCAGGGACGCCCGGTGAGTGATACCACTACGGCTGAGAACCCCGCTGGTCAGCATGTCTTGCTTTGCTGCGCCTCTTCCCTCTGCCTGGGGGTGGCTTTGGCTCGAGTGAGACCGCCGTCTCCCTGGCTTCGGATGATGATGAGATGGTTCCGGTTGATCCCTTGACCATGCATGACCCGTGGGCTCCCCCCCCATGCCAAGTGTGCGCCAACTGGCCCCAGGAAGGGTCACGCTAAGTGGGATCAGCTCCTCCTCCCGGAGGACCATGCCTTCACCCTTGCTGATCTTGGGGTTGCGCCTGTCTTGGTTCCGCGTGGGCAGCTTGGCCCCCTTGTGTCTGGCCTGGCCTTCTGCCCTGTCAGCTTGCTTGCGGAGAGCCTCAAGGCCCCGGTCCTTGCCTGCGCTTCCTTCTGCTGTTGGAGTTGAGGGTCCCCTGCAGATCAGTGTCCTGGACCCTGTTGCAGCTCTCACATACAAGCGGCAGGTCGTGCTTGTCCATCTTGCTCCTGGCATTACCTACCGCCCCTCTGTTGAGAACGGTCATTGACACTGTTGACTTTGTTGAGCTTGTGGTTGAGAGCTTTGAGGCCCTCGCGGCTGATTTTGCGAGCATCTTGGCCAAGCCTGCCGCGGACCTTCGGGCCCTCCTTGAGGCTCCTCACCAGCCCCAGCCATCGGTCGTGCAGTCTGTCTATGCCCTCCGTGTTCTCCATGGCTCTGTCCACAACTTGGGTCGCGTGGTGCAGTTTACGGTCAAGCTCCCGTTGACCCACAGGCTCGCCTTCCTGCGTCTGTCTGGCACCGGGCCCTTCTTCGTGCGTGATTTCTTGGCCCAAGGAGCTGACCCTCAGGACCATTCAGTGGTGCACCGTTTCTGGCCCCGGCCTCCGGGCGGCCCTGGCTGTCTCCCGGGCCCTGGAGGGGTTTGCTGGTCTTGCCCCACTGAAGCGGGGTGTCACAGTCCGTGTCCTGCACTCTCACATCGCGGATGCTCGCAGAGCCTTGTTGCAGGAGGATCCTCGCTTTGTTGAGGCCAACCGGTCCCTCGTCCCCCGGGTCACTTTCCTTGCGGAAGGCTTGCCGTTTGGGGCCACGCCTGGTGCTATTGTTGAGGCTGTCCTCAAAGCTGTGGGTGCACCCTGCATCCCCTTGCGCTCTTTCCACAACGGCATTCTGGTGTGGGTCTTGGCCTTCGCTCAGGCCCCTGCTCTCATGGATTTCACCCTCCTGTCTGCGGGGCGCCCGTGTGAGGTCATCCTGGCCTCCTCAGGCTCGCAAAGGCCTAAAAGAGGGGCGGCCTCCACAGTCTCCGCCCAGCGCTGAGACCCCGGGCACCTCTGCCACTCGGCCTTGCCCTTCTGGTCCCGGCCCGACGGGGCTTCAGTCTCGGGTTGAGGCCCTTGAGCAACGCTTGGGGGGCCTTGAGGTTAAGCAGGACACCCTTGCGGACAAGGTTGACACCCAGTTTGCGCAAGTTTCCGCCCAGCTCACGCGCATCTTGGGGGCGGTGCGTGCTGGTGCCGCGGAGGATGCTTTGGCCCCCTCGGCCAAGGCAGCTCGCATGGGGGCTTGACTATCTGGGCCGCCATGGCCCTCTTGGGGGATGGGTCCCTGGTTGACCCTCTGTGTCTCGGGTTCCGGTACTGGCAATTGCTGCCTCCCTTGTTGTTGGTGTGCGGCGCCTTTTCCTGTTGCTGTTTGGTGGCTTGTGCTGTACCGTGTTTTTGATGCCACTTGCGGCTTTCCTGGTGAGGGCCCTTTTACCTTGCGCTCCCACAATGTCGGTTCTCTGGCGGCCCACCCTGAGCTTTACCCCGTTGATGCTCACCTTTTCCTGGTTCAGGAGGCCCGCCTTTCGGCTGACAATGTGCGTTCTGTTACTTTTCGGGCGTCTGAGGCTGGCCGCTCTCTCTTGCCTGGCCCCCTACTCTCCGTTGTCCCTGACGTGAATGGTGTCCGTCGGGTGGAGTGGGGGGGTGTTGCCTCCCTGGCCTGGAAGTGCGTTGTTCATCCTGTTGATCCCCAGCAGGATGCATCCGGGCTCCTGCCCTCACTGCTGGCTTCGGGCCGCTTCCATGCGGTGTGGGCCACGCTCGGTTCCTTTCGCATGCTTGCGCTCAACTTTTATGCGATTTCTGGTGCCTCCTCTGATGATGTGATCTTCAGCCAGAATCAGGACTACCTCGCTGCCATTTTTGCGTTTGCGGCCCAGTACACTGCCGACCACCCTGTGGTCCTTGCCGCGTGCGATGATGCTGTAGCTACCGGGGTCTGGCTTGACCCCTTGCAGCCTCCGACGGAGGCGACCATGCGGGACAAGACCTGGCTTGGGTCTGGCCCCCGCACGGCCATCGATACGGTCTTGCTCAACGGCCTTGCTTCTCGCCTGCTCCAGTCGGCTGAGGTGGAGCCCTTGTGTGGCTTTCAGCATGCCCCTGTGATCTTGAGGTTTGCGGCGCCAGATGAGGTCCCACGGGCTGTTGCTTTCGCTGCCTTTGCTCCGCTTGACCTTGCTGGGCTTGTCTCTGAGGACCAGCGCGCTGTCCTTGCTGAGGACATGTGGCAGTCCACGTACCGCCCTGCCTTGGATTCCCTTCGTACTGTGGAGGATGCTTGGGCTCTTTTCTGTGACTTTGCGCTTGCCACTCTTCTCCAGTCTGGTGCCCGGTGGGGGCGCGGCCGCCGTTGTCGGGGTACCCTGCCCCCTCTGCGCCCCCAGCAGGCCTTCGGGCGCCCTTTTCCTTCGTACCATCCCATTGCCCGCTTGGCTAGACTTCTGTCTCTGTCGCGTGAGCTCTTCTATCGGTTGGTGCGGCTCCCCCTTACCTCGGTTGCTGATGCTCAGGTCACGCACCGCACCCTCAGGCGTTTCTGCCGTGTTGCTCGAGAGCTTCGGTTTGCCTACACGGCTGAGGACCTCACCCCGGCGGGTGTTGCCCCCTTGTGTGAGAGAGTTGAGGCTGCCCTCCGTGATGCCCACCTCACTCGGCAGCGCGCCGCTGTTGCGCGTTGGAAGGAGCGCCTCCGCCACTCGGCCCTTCACTCGGGTAAGGAGGTCTTTGCTCACCTGCGCAGTGCCACCCAGGCTGCTCACTCCAATTCCCTGGCTGGTCCTGATGGTGCCCCTGCGTACCGGCCCTTGCGCACGCTGCGGACCAGTGGAACACTGTCTTTGAGGTGCATGCGGAGGACTTTCCTGTGGATCCGCTCATGCGCCCTGTCCAGCATCTCCTGGAGCAGCGTGCCTCTCCCTTGGTCTTTGACCCCGTGTCTGCTGAGGACCTGGCTGCCTCCGTTGCTCGCCGGAGCCCTGATTCGTCTGCTGGCCTGGATGGTTGGAGGGGCTGTTGAGCTCCGCGCACTGCCCATCCCTGTGTTCCGGCTCCTGGCCTATCTTCTTCAGCAGGTGGAGCTGGGCCGGTGGCCCATGCCGCGCATATTCGGCACCGCTCGGTTGGCCTGGACAAGGGTGCTGGCCCCGCCCCTCTGTCCAAGAGGCTCATAGCCGTCCTTCCTATCTGCTACCTGGCTTGGTCGTCGGCAAGGTTTCGAGCCTCCACTGCGTGGCAACGTGCCGTCCTACCGCCTGAGGTGGTTGGTGGTGTCCCCGGTCGCCGTGTGGAGGATATCACTCATCACATGGCGCTGGATTTCCATGAGGCGCGTGCCACTGATGCTCCCTTTGCGGGCATCCAGGTTGATCGCTCCAAGTGTTTTGATCGCCTTATGCCTAGGCAGATTGTTGCGCTCCTCACTGCCTTGGGTTTCCCTGTGTCGGTTGCTCGTGCCTAATATGGGAACTATGATGGCTTTCGCCGCTTTTTGTCTTGGCGTGGTGCGGTCCACCCTGAGTCCCTGGCCAACCGTAATGGTATTGCCCAGGGCTGCTCCATGTCCGTGCTTGCGGCAAATGTGCTGATGACGGCGTGGTCCCTCCTGATTCGGCACTTTCCTGGTGTCACGCCCCGTGTCTTCGTTGATGACGGAGTCGAAGAGTGAAGTAGCACGGACGGCCTGGACCAAGCTGGGGATCGCATCCAAGGTGGTCACGGTCATATACCCTTGGCTGGCCAGCAGTTCAATCTCCACAAGTCAGGTTGGTGGGCCACTCATGATACTTGTGTGGCGGAGCTTCAGCCTGCGTTGCCTCAGGCCCCCCGCCTGAAGGCCTTGCGCCCCTTGGGGGTCACGATCAACCTTGATCTCCGTGGTACCCGGGATGCCCGTGCACCTGCTGTTGCGAGCTTCAGGCGTGCGCTCCGTGCCATCCGGAGTCTCCCGCTCTCTGCTGCTTCCAAAGCTTCCTATGTTGCCCGTAAGGCCATGCCCATGCTGTCGTATGCGGCTGAGCTCAACTTTGTGCCCAAGCGCATCCTATCTGCCTTGGCTTCTGAGGTTGCCTCTGTGCTCTGGGATGGTCGGCCTATGTGGAGGTCCCGCGAACTCCTTCTCGCTGTTGTCCATCCCGGCCACTTGGTTCATCCTGAGTATGCGCTGCCGTACCGCACGATTCTCAATGTTGCGGCCCATCTCCAGCGCTCGGAGGTCTTCAGCCTCAAGTGGAGGATTGCCTTTACCAATCAGCGCCTGCTGCCTTCCACCCTGGTGGCCACTTTCGTGTCGGCGCTCACTGCGTGCGGTCTCCGGTTTCAGGCCCCTGCCTCCGTTGCCTTTGATCATGGTCCCTGGCTCTCCCTGTTTGGCATGTCCCTGCGTTCGCTTAAGCGTTTGCTCCAGTGGACTATTCCTCAGCATGCTTATGCCAGGGCCTGCCGGGGCAAGCGTGCGGACATTGCGCATGGCCCTACTGGTCTCCTGGATGTGGCTTTTTCTCGCTCCCCCTGGAGTGTTCCCCCGTGTCCACGGTGGACCTCCTTTGCCCGTCTCTTGCCTTCCAGGAAGGCTGTGGCCCCGGCGGTTGTTGTGGGTTCGGCCGTCACTGCTGACCGGCTCCATGCCTCGGGCCTGTCTGGTAGCTCTCTCTGTCGGTACTGTGGGCGGGAGCAGGAGACCATTGGTCACCTCGTTGAGTGCCAAGACCTGCCCGGGGAGGTTGGCACCCCCCCCCCCCCTTGTTCCCGATCAGGGACCTGCCTTCGCCACTCATGGTCTGCTTGAGGTCCCTGCTGATCTGCAGTCGGCGTTCTGTGCTGCTCAGCCGTGGCCTCCTACTTCTCCTTGGCCACGCTACGGCCTTGGGCACGCCACTCACCTCTGGACTGACGGTAGTGTCTACTTGCCGCAGCGCCCTTTCCTGGCTGCTGCCGGCTATGCCGTCGTGTCTGGTTCGCGCGCCACTGTCGATGCTGGTGCGGTTCCGGGTGTCTTTGCGGACAACTATCGTGCGGAGGTGTATGCCATTGTGCGTGCGGCCATGCACGTTCGGGGGCACCTGGTTGTGCATACTGACTCCCAGTCTGCCCTCCTGGCGTGGCAGGCAATTTGTGGGTCCGGTATGGTTGCTCCCCACATTGCGGCCGCTGATCTATGGCAGGTCCTGTGGTCCCTTGTCCGGTCGCGTGCTGTGGGTGGTTTCATCCTGGAGCTTCATTGGATTCGAGGTCATGTGGCCATTTCGGCTGCCACTCATCCAATTGAGGCCCTGCATGCTCGGTGCAACCATGCGGCTGACCTTGCGGCCAAGGCTGCCGCCAGGGTCTCCTTAGCTGTCCCTGCCCGCAGGCTTGATGCCCTCTTCTTCGCCACCTACCGCCGTCACTTGTGGTTGCAGAGCCTGTTTCTTGCCCTGCCGCGCACCCCCCTTCCCCCTGTGCCTGCCCCTGACCCTGGTGAAGCCCTGTGCCCTGTGGCTCCTGCCCCCCCCCCGGAGCTTGCACCGGGCCCGTGCCATGGCCCTCCGCGCTTCTGTGTCCTTCATGGTGCAGTTTGGCTATGTGCTGAGGACGCCTTTCAGCCGGGCTTGGCGGTTGCGTTGGTGGTGTGGAGGCGCTACCCGGTCATCCTGCCCTACCGGCCGTGCTGCCACAGTGCAAGACCTTCTGGTACACTTCAAAGCAGCTCGGCGATGTGTCACCCGGCGGGCCCCTCTTGCTTTTCCAGGCAAGTGGGAGCCCCGGTTGGGTGCGTATGCGGGCCTGGCGTGGCCCCGGGGGGCCTTCTCTGGAGTGCGCTTGCTGTGCACTCCAGAGGAGGATGCCTTCCTTGAGAGGGCTCGCGATTGGGCCTTTTCTCTTGGGTCCCTCGCATGACTTGCACTGGATGCAGTGGCGCTTGCGGCCTGTGCCGCTGGGCTCTACGTGATGAGGGCTTTGGAGGTGAGGGCTGCCTGCCCTCACAGGCTGTTTCACCTCGTGGTGTGCTTTCTGCCACAGTCTGTGGTATGTGTCACTGGTGGGCACCTGTCCCACTAGGCCTGGACAGATGGTTGGGCGGCATGCCCCTCCGTCAGCCGGCGAATCGTCGCCCGCCGTGTGCCAAAAGGGTACCCTTATTCTAACCTCTCTACTGGAGGATCTAGGAGATGAAGGAAATTGACCTTTCCGGGTGTGGGCTTCGCCTTGGAGGCATGCCAAACTACATGTCCCGTTGTGTGTGTGTCGGTTTGCGGGGTGTATGGTTCAATTAGAGGGGGGGTGCATGTTTAAAGCGCGGGCCAGGGGTATTGTTCGTCTGCAGAAGGAGGTGATTGTTCGAAGGCAGGGGGGTTTTGTTCGAGGGGGGATCCATTGTTTGACATCAACTGCTTTTGCCCCTTTGCTGAATTGGACACCAACCAAGTAGCCTTTGGGAGCGCGGGCCATTTGGGTTTGTCTTAAAACATGGGACCCTCAAAATGGGTGGGTTTCCTCTTGTGTCCTCTTAAAACCATCCCAAACAGGTACGACACGCCCATTTGACCCTCCAAGGCCGTTGAGTGCCCTTCTGGATTGATACGTCGACGTGAGGAGCTGGCAACAGGTGGCAGGGAAGACTGCCCGGCGGCTTAGTCAGATCGTATTGGAGTGCTGGCATGTCCCTTTTGGCTGTAAATATCACCTTTTGGCTGATGTTTACAGGAACCCTGGCAGGGGTACTTATATAAATCCCCCATTTGGCTATGCTTGCCCGCCATTCAACATTGCGTGCCGAAAAATATTGGCAACATGGGTTCCAAAACTGAGTGCATTTCTTGTCGGTTCCCTTTTCAACCCCAAAGTCCACAAAGAATACCCTCGAAAAAAGACACACCGATGCGTGCGTTGAAATCTCGTTTTGTCCGCACTCCTTGTTGGTATCAGGTTGCTGGTAGGCTTTTCGCAGGTGCAAACACAGGTGCCCTCATGTGTCTCCTTGTGGGTGCTTGGCCAGGTGGAGCCATGTTCACAAGACAGATATTTTGTAACCCTCGCTGATTTTGGTGAAGGGCATTGCACGGCCGGCTTGCGAAGGACCAATCATTCACGAATACTTGGGACTGTTTCAGGGTTGTTCACGGTGGCGATGCCTTGTGTTTGGACCATTTTGCAGCCACTTGACAAGGGAACAAGAAGAACTTATTTGTGCAACACTTTCTCGAGTTCATTGATCTGTATATATCTTGCTGCTACAGTTGTTGGTAGGGAATGGCAATCAACTCGGTAAAGATGCTTGACAACCATTCCAAGGGTTCCTAGGAAACCACGTCCATGACCGCCTATGAGCCGAAAAAGAAAACCCGTTGTGTGTGTGTCAATGTCAGGCATGGTCCCAGTTGTTTTGGACGCATCAAATCAGCTGCACCGCCGCTTGTAATTTGAAGGGCAGGACTGTGGTGCAGGAGCGGCCGCGCAAGTCAAACATAGGGCTGCGCAAGTGAAGCGAAAGTGACGCAGTGATGATTCATCATCATCATCATCATCATCATCATCATCATCATAACCGTGGCCCAAAGATTAACAAGTTTTCGCGCAAGTCCCGCGCAAGTCGCGCGCAGCCCGCAGATGCCCCCAAACTGCTTGGAGCAGGAGTGGCCCATTTCTGTTTTTTGCATTTTCTGTTTTCTGCAGATCCCAGCAATTCTGCCGAGTGAATTTGTTAGCAGAACATTTGCAGCGGTGTGTACACATGAGACCTCATACACTTAAAGGGGCATGCTATTGGGGGACCTCATGCTTATGAAGACCGCCGCTTGGATTTACAATGAAAACAACTTGGGATAAGAGTTTTAACACGGGTTTATTTTTCCCGCTCATATGGAGTTTCAACATTGGCTCATACAGGTATGTCTCAAGCTGAACCCCTTTCGCAATCCGGAATTCCCAATGTTACACACCCAGATGGGTATGCAAAAGGGTGAAGGTAACAGTAAGTACGCTTCTGCATTCGCATAGAATTAGGTTTGGGACTCTCTGCATGGAAACGCTTCGGATGCCTTCTGGATTTGAGCTCGGGTGCGGTTCCCTTTTTTGGATCTGAGCAACCAAACGACCCGACCGTAAGGTGACCAATCAGGCTTGGACGCCCGGGCTCTAAAAGTGTTTGTTGGTTGTGCTTTGAGAGTCGGTCTGCATTTGCTGGCTTTCTTGCCTTTCCTTCTCTTCCCCTTCCTTCCCTTCTTGCCTTCCCTTCTTTCCTTCTCTTCCCGTTCCTTCCTTCCCTTAGCTTCCCTTTGTGCCCTTCCCTCCTTCCTCCCTTTCTAGCTGGCATGCGTTTTCTTGTCTTAGCTTCCTTTTTGCTCTCCTTTCTTGCCTCCTGCCTCCCATCCTAGCTGACTGGCGTTTCCTTCCCTTACCTTCCTTTTCTGCCCTCCTTCCCTCCTTCCCTTCCTAGCTGGCCAGCTGGCCGGCGTTCCTTCGGTCCCTGTCGGGCATTCGGGCGTCAGGTCTTCGTGAACTTCCACGCGCAGTGGTGCTCCCACTGCCAAGCACTGAAACCCACCTGGAACAAGCTGGCCAACGCCCAGTTCCGCTTCCAGGACGGATGGGGACACCCCTTGCTTGGTTCATTTGTTGGTTGGTTGGTTGGTTGGTTGATTGATGTTCATGTTCATGTTCATGTTCATGTTGATGTTGATGTTGATGTTGATGTTGATTGGGTTGTTGGCTAATTGTTGGGTTGATTAGTTGGTTGGATGGTTGGATGGTTGGATGGTTGGATGGTTGGATGGTTGCTCGGTCCGTCGGTCGGGCGGTCAGTCAGTCTTGGTCATCTTGGTCGCTTGGCTTGTGGGCGGGCAGGCAGGTGGGCGGTGGTCACTCGGTCGGTTGGCTGGTTGGTTGCTTGGTTAATGATGCCACTTTAGCAAGCAGGCCGAACTGTCCCGGTTACAGGGAAATTGTTGAAACCATTGCCCACCACCCAGTTGGCAGTTTCAGACCAAAGGCCTACCTTAGCTTTTTGGTGTCCCTTCAAGTTGTGAAGTTAGCAAGGATCCCCTTCAAATTAGCAGTGGTCAAATTGGATGCTCTTCCAATCGAAACTGCCTTTTACCCAAGTTTAAACATGGTGTTGTTTCCAGCTGACCAGCAACAAGTTGGCAACTTGCGGCAGCCACCAGGCTTAGTGGTTGGGGGGTTCAGAGGTGTTCGAAAAGCATCCGGACCTTCGCATGAGGGCTGCAACAGCCACAAACGGTGTTCATGTAGCAAGCAATTGGTGTTGCTGACTTGTCCGAAGGTGAAGGGGGACAGATCTTTTTCAATTGTTCAATATTCCAGTTTTAACCCATTTTAGAATATAAGCAGCAATGTGTTTGGTTGATCTCCTGTCCATTCTTTTCGCCCATTGATTACTCTTTCGAGGCAAACACCTCAACCATGGTCCGGGTAAATTCCTGGGCTAAGGGGAGGGGTACAGCTTGAGAAAAGCGCACAGCTTGAGAAACCGCCTCTTCGGATGAATAAACCAAGTCGAAAAGGGTGCTCCTGACTTGAAAGTATCTTCCTACAGGTAGGGTTCCGGATTCGGGCAAGAACTCGCCAAGCGCTGACCGTCCCCAGCACGGGAGTGGGTCCCATGAAGATCAGAGGGTCTCTTTGGTACACGCCTCATTTCTGACCATAGTTTCCACTCAAATCTGACCATATGTTTCGTCTCATTTCTGAACATAGGATGCTACTCATTGGTGACCATGTGTTTCCACTTAGTCGTGACCGTGCTGCGTAGATGTGCGCACACATGCATTCAGGTTGCACACAGCGGGTGAGAGGTCGGCATGAAGATGTTTGGTAAGGGCTCTGTCAGGGGGAGCAACCCAAGCCTCTGGAGCAAGACGGCACGAGAAGCTCACACTGTGCCTTGCTCAAAGGCAGCAGCCAAAGAATGGCAAGGCGCCGAGCGCAGACCGGACGGGCGCCGAGGGAAGACCGGATAGGCCGACCGGGAAGTCCCCGAGAGGTCTGCGACAAAAGGCCGGGGAAGGCGCCGAACGCCGAACACAGACCGGGAAGGCGCTGAGCAACCGCCGGGAAGCGGTGGGCTCAGACTGGGCGGGCGCTCAGCAACGACCGGGAAGGCGGTCAGCGAAGACCGGGAGGGCGCTGGAAAAGACAGGGCAGGTCTTGGATAAAGACCGGGAAGCCGCCGGGGAAGGACCGGGAAGGCGGCGAGGAAAGACCGGGGGTCCGGGGAAAGACCGGGAAGGTGTCGAGGAAAGACCAGGAAGGCCCCAGCAAACGACCGGCAAGGCGTCGAGCAAAGACCGGAAAGGCCCGGGGAAAGACCGGGCAGATGTCGAGGAAAGACGACCGGGAAGGCCCCGGCAAACGACCGGCAAGGCGTCGAGCAAAGACCGGAAAGGCCTCGGGAAAGGACCGGGAAGGCTCCGAGAAGGCTGCGACAAAAGACCCACCGAGGGAAGCTCAGCAACAGCCAGGAAGGCGGTCAGCGCAGACCGGGAAGGCGCCGGAAAAGACCGGGAAGGTCTTGGCCAAAGACCGGGAAGGCGACGGGGAAGGATCGGAAAGGCGCTGCGCCAAGGCGCCGGGGCGAGAAGGGCCCGTCCTCTGTTTTCTGCGGAAAGCCAATCCGGCCACGGGGCGGTACGGGGGAAGCATGCGAGACCGCCACGGCCGCGGCAGGCCGGACGGGGAAGGCTGATGCGGGCATCCTGCAGGGATCTCGCGCGGCAGCTGACCAGGGCAAGCGCAGGTCTTGGGCCCCTCCCAAGCAGAGCTTTGGAGATTGGTCCTGAGCACGCAGTGTGCTTACTGCAAGCGCACTGTGAAGGCAAGGCCCTGGGCGCCGAGGGAAGCGTTGAGCAACAGCCGGGAAGGCGGTCAGCGCAGACGGCGGCGGAAAGGCGCCAGGGAAGGACCGGGAAGGCGCCGCGCCAAGGCCCCGGGGTGAGAAGGGCCCGTCATCTGTTTGTGCAAGTCGCGAAGCAGTGCCAGATGCCGGGGACAGATTCGTCCCAGATCAGGCGGCTACGGGGGAAGCAAGCGAGACCGCCAAGTGGCAGGCCGGCGGGGGAAGGCCAATGCGGGCATCCTGCAGGGACCTCAGGGCAAGCGCAGCCAGCAAGGTCTTGGGTCCTGTCCGAGCAGAGCCTTGGAGATTGGTGCTGAGCACGCAGTGTGCTTACTGCAAGCGCACTGTGCGCTTCAGCCCAAGGATGCCCATGAGTTTGCTGCAGCGGCTTGGCTTACGCGTTTCCAAGGCGCTGAGCGTTCAAGCCCAGACTTTGGCTTGCTTGGAGGCCACGCGGAGGAAGACAGGCTGCCGGGAAGGTGCTTGGCTCACAGACGGGCAGAGTAGCCTGGGTGATGATGCACGCGCCGGCGGAACACAGGGGCAGCCGCCTCTGCTTTCAGTTTCCGGGATCCTCAATGTACGCAAGTGGACAGTAGCAGGCATCCGGCCAGGGGGGAAGCGGCGCTCTCTGCCAGGGCCTTGCCTTTCCGGTTTTTCGGTAGGGAGGACTTCGCCATCCCGAGCTTTTGCCAAGGGCATTGTCTGTTGGCTTCCCCCTCAGCAGCCACCAGTGTGAGCCGGATGGCGGGAAAGGACTGGGAAGGCTCCGAGAAGGCTGCGACAAAAGGCCGGCGGCGGAAAGACCGGGAAGGTCTTGGCCAATGACCGGGAAGGCGCCGGGGAAGGACCGAGAAGGGCCCGTCATCTGTTCGCAAAGCAGTGCCAGATGCCGGGGACAGATTGGTCCCCAGATCAGGCGGGGAAGCAAGCGAGACCGCCAAGGCCGGTGGGGGAAGGCCGATGTGGGCATCCTGCAATGGACCTTCCCTCACCACCCAAAAGACCTTAATTAAGGTTTCCAACCTTATTTAAGTTTATCAACCTTAAAAAAACTCCTTAATTAAAGGCATTAGTCCTTATTTAAAGTCTTTTTCTTGAAAACACATACAAAAGTCCTTATTTAAGGTCTTTTTTTAAGGTTGAATCCAACATTTAAGGACTTTAGTCCTTAATTAGAGGGTTTTCATTTTAAGGTGTTTTTTCTTAGTTAATGTGTGTTTCAATAGGAGAAGCTTGCACGCGCTTCTCCTGATCTTTTTTTTCAAAATGGGAGAACGAACGTGCTTTCTCCTATAGACAAACTGCTGCAGCAAGTTCATGCATGGCTTCATGCGCGCTCGAACCTTCAAGGCAGCGCCTCGATCCAAACAGCTCCTTTTTTTCTCACACAGCTGGCACATCGTGTCGACCTGCAAACCGGCACAATACATTCTCGGCGGTTGAAGTCACAGACTTTGGCCCTCCCCTCCTCCTCCCCATCAGGGCCAGAGCCCCTCCAAAATCCTCATCCCGATATGTCCACGTCAAACTGGGATTGGAGGCAGCCATCTCGCACATTTCTTGGAACAAATGCAATTTTGGTTTCAGCCTCCACTGCGCGTGATCAGAGTCATGGACCAAAGCTGCGTACAAAGTGCAAAATTTCCGACAATGTTCTTTCAGTACTGCTATGGAAAAATTCTGATGATCCAAGCATTCATAGCATCGCGACAGGTGCCCAGCTGCCGCCTTCAAACTTGACTCCCACACATTGTCATCCCTGCAGTACTCTTGGGCCAGGAAGTTGACAAAAGGCACAGTCGCCCTGACTTGAGCCGCTCCCCCTCTGAGCTTGGGGGGGTTGCTGGCTTTCTTCTGCAGCATGGTGGCGGTGAGGTTGGCAAGCCTGTCCTTGGTGCCATTGTCCTTGTACCATGTCTGGAGCTTCAAAAATAAATCTCTGCATTGCTCGTCTTTGTTGGTGCCTCGCATCTTTGGTAGCAAGGAAGAAAGAAAACTCCCACAAAAGTCTGCTGCAACTCCTTTGTCCACTGCGTGCAACCAATCGATTTGAAAGATAGAAATATCAACAAACGGGCAGCCCATGATAGGAGAGGTTGATCTCTCAAGTTCTGCTTGCCTCGTCATAAACTGCCAATGGGAAAGGCGGTGCTGCGGCATCCTCCAAAATGCTTGGTCATCACAGAGATGGATGCGGTCAGGAGTCATGGTGCACCTCCAACAGCAGCCGCTCAATTCTTTCCAGCCGGGCAGCCTGAACAATTCCTTGTAGCAAGCCCAGTCGCCGCGAACCTCAGCAAGGATTGCCCTGACATAGAGGGTTTGGCCAGCCAGCTTCTTCCTCACCGCATCTTTGGCGGTAAAAGGAGACCCGTCGTGTCTCTTGCTGGGGTATACGCCAGAAAATAAAATCTCAAAACTCCACTTCAAAATATTGAAGATACAGTCAAAGGTGGCGTGCTTGATCACAAAAGATTTGTCAATGACCGTGATCGGCAGCCGCATGTTCTTCCATTCTGGGACGCCTGGGAAATTTAAGGCAACAACTTCCAGCGAAGAACTCTTGTCCCAGTTGTAAGGGACGCCGTCGCACCACAGACCGCAACCCAATAGGGTGGCTCCAGCCTGAGCTTCCACCTTGGTCACGTGGGCAGCCGTGTCAACGGACATTCCGCCTTTGTCCAAAAAATTCTCCAACGAAGACCACTTCGCAATATAACCCAC